CTCTGCAGAGGTACAGAGATGAGGTGCGGTTTACAGACATGCTGCTGAGGGTGATGTTTTCCCTAAAGCCAGCTGTGTGCTGCTTGCCTGCAGAAAGACAGCATCTGCTTGGCTGCATCCTGCAGGGGTCAGGAGCACAGGTCCCACCAGGCAGACTGAACTGTCACTGATGCAGAGCGTTAATCTCAAAGGAGACAAGACACCCAAAATTTGTGAGATCGTTTCTCCTCCCCCAAGTATCAGGCGAACATCTGAGTAGCAACACCCACCAACTTGCACTACCAAAAGTAGAAAGAAGCAGAAAATACAATACGACTTTAGTCTGCCTCTCATGGTCAGATGCAGGTTCGATTCCCAAGACATGCATCAGGTTTTGGGGCTGGAAATCTGGGACTCACAGCAGTGCTCTAGCCTCCAAGTGTTTCTCTGACTTCTTTTTTCCCTCAGCAAACCTAACCTTTAGCCAGGAGGTGGGATGGCAGCAAGGGACATACAGCCCAACCATAAAGGGGGCACCACGCTCAGGAGAGCCCCCCTAGAGGTTTTTTTTTTCCTTTACTTTTCTCATACCTGCATTTTTCTTCCTCCAGTATTTAGTTTCATGTCTAGATGCCCCGAGAGCCTCTGTCTGCAGCCAGGCACTTCGGTGGTCACAGGTGATTTCTTTGTTTCAGCTCACAACTGGCGTGCTGGGGGAAGTGCACAGGCTTCTTGCACAGGCTGGAGATCTTAGGTGTTTAATAGCTACTTCCCTTCTGCTGGCGTGCTGCCATTCCTCTCTCTCTCCCTTTCCCCTAATTAATTAACATTATTTAACTTTAATATTATATATTATGGAAGCAACTGTTAAATCTGTGATTTCCAGCTGTTTGCCAGCTTCCTCTAGAGGTTGCTTCTGCCACATTACCCTCAGCCAACCAGTGAATAAACATTCTTCTTCCAAGGATGTATCTGGCAGAAGACATTTGCTTCTACCCATTTTCTTTTGCAGTTTCCATGGACAAGCACTACTCATCAGCAACCAGCTACAAAATCCACCTTGCTTTCGGAATACCGAACACATTAGGAATTCTTTGCACAAGCAACTGAGTTCTAGCTCTGTTTTCCAAGGCTTATTAGTACTTCTTGACTTTTGCTCTTCTGTATTTTCCATGTAACAAGCGCTTAGCCCTTTAAAATTTGAACAAATAAAACAAATAGGCAGCTCACTGCAAAGTGAAAGTGCAGGATTACTCTGTCAGCTTGCCCTTTTCTCACACTGCAGGCCTGAGAGCGATTAAATGAAGCTGACATGCATTAGCCAGGCAGCCTAATTGAGCATGAATTGCAAGGGAAGTAGCAATAACCCAAGCCAGTATGGATTCAAGAGCAACCCCATTAGGGAGTGTTGATCAATATCACTGATTATGACATTTTAAAAATAAAATTGATTGTCCTTGACTCAAGTGGAAGGGAGACTCATTCATACATGCCACCAGATACAACTACTCTGCTCAGTACGAAACACTTTGTGAAATGGCCATGGCAAGTCCCTCCTTGTTGTCTTTCTTACAGGGGCAAAGCTCCCTTGACTTTGATTTTCTTTGCTCTGGAGGCCTTTTAGTTAAAAGCTCTATAATAGTCTTGGAAGTATTGACAATAATAATAAGCTTATGGGTGAAATTCTGACCTCTGTAAAGTCAATGCAGCCAGAATTCCACCATTTTATATATCCACACACACATATAAAGTATACACATGTGCTCTTAACAGATCAAAATCTGCACATTGATTCACTCTTTTTATTCACTCTACTTTGCAGCAGTTTGCTTACCAAAGATGTTTTAAGTGCAAGCTAATAAAATGAATGGATCTTCCTCGTGCTTAAAGCAGAAAATAAAATTAACAGCATTTTCCCCCAGGAGGCCTTTGTCTAAGAAAAAAAAAAAAAGTCAGTATATCTTCCTGTCTTCTTTGTGGAGCGTTTTCAGATGCTGGAGTTGATGGAAAACTGCCTTACAAAACTGGCAGGTTTCTCAGCGAAGGGAACACCTCATCTAGCTCTCCTGCCTGGGGAAGGGGGAGCAGTAGGGAAAGTGGGATAACGTAACTTCAAGGGAGATCTTCTGATTTATGCTCTTCAAGGGAGATCTTCTGATTTATGCTTTGTCAGGATCAAGCCTCACTAGGTTCAGACATATCTTCGGATGTCAGGGCAGAAGAACAGGAAAGGATAGGAATTAACCTGGGAATCAGCCTGACCAGGTACCCACGTAGCAGTGAGAATAAGGAAATGTAGAACACATGGGCTAAGCTGCATGAATAATCTCTTAAGAAAACAAGTTAGAAAAGAAAAAATCTCTTATACCACATACCTAAATAAGGCATGCAGGAAAATACAATATATTTTGGTAGATCAGCTAGAGATGGGAATATATTAAGCTTTCAACTTTTCTTTAAGCAGCTCCTGGACCTCTTGAAGCACTTTACCCTTACTATCTTTCATATGTATTTCTCCACAAACCATCTTGTTGGATATAGAGCAAAGTAAACAGCAAAACAGCAGCAGATATTTACAGGTGGATCCAGAATTTCCATCAATCTTAATGCACTGACTTGAAAGACCTTAATTAATAGCTAATTGTGGAAATGGTCTGATGAATTCTGTCTTAGATAAGCAAAACATTTAGTTACTGATTGTAGTTCATTTCCTCATCTTATTAGTTAACTTGGACACGTTTGTTGTGGAAATGAGTTAGTGTTTACTATGGTGTATCATTTACCTTACTCAGTACTTGTATCAGGCATCGTGGAAAAACCGGAGCAAACATACCAGTTTGCAACCCAAAGAGCCTCTGTCTGCCCACCAAGCTATGTCAGGTTTTGTGACAATGAGCAGCACAGCCTGTCTCAGGCACTGGATCATGCATCCCTCCAACAACACAGTCTTTTGGCCTCTGCTGTGCAGAAGGACAGCCTTGGACATAACAGTTTCTTCAGGGCTTAATATCAATATATTCCTGTACTTTAAGCCAAAAAGTAAATTACTTTTTTTTTTTTTTTACTTTTTTTTTTTTTTTTGTTCCCACCCACCTACCTTGCACCTCAGGAAGGCCCTGGTCTACCTCTGTGCCCACCCCCCGCCTAGGTTTCATGTCCTTAGATCAGTCTCTTCTTGCAGCCTGCTGGTTAGATCCCTTTCCTGCAGATGCAGTTAGGATACTGGTGGGATGCTGTTTAGCAAGGATGCTCATGGTTGTAATCCCTCAGGGTCGGTAGAAACAGAGTAGCACTTTTTTTTTTTTTTTTTTTTTTTTTTTTTTTTTTTTTTTTTTTTTTTTTTCCTTTGGACTATTATCCAATTTCTAGCAGCAAGTGTAAGTTTTCTTCTCTTCAGTTCCTTTGATTTATGTTTAATGGTATGTGATGTGCTGAATCAGAGTTACACTTTTGGCATATTTGTTGAGATAATATCAAGGCCTTCTGTATTTTAGATGGCAAAATTCAGGGTGACTGGAGAACAGCTAGTACAACAGCCTGCAGGGAGGATGCCAAGGTGGGAAACAGCAGTCTTGCCCTCATCCCATCCCCAGGTGGGGGTCCTGGTTTGAGGTGTCTTTGAAAGAGCCTCGCTCTCTCCCTGATGCTGCCGAACTGACCACAACAGCCCTTTATTGCCAAATCCCATCCTTACAGCTGACCAAAGAGTACATTCCCATATGTGACACCTCCGTGGCCCAGGCAGCTCAGCCCCTGTCCTTGACGCTCTTTTGCCCTTAGATGCCGCTGATGACCAGGGATTACTCAGCAAGGGGAGGGTGGTGGGGATTAATTCCTTGGCTGAGGTCTCAGAGACATGCCTGCTGACTGCCAGACCTTTAACGCTGCGAGAAGGGATACTTTTTTTTTTTTGCTTCAAATGGCAGCTTAAAAATAAAAATAAAAAAGAGCAGAAACATATGTTGATTCCAGCAGGGGATGGGATCCACTGGTTCACAGCATCCTGTGAAATAAACCATTTCACTCTCTTCACTGACATCAGAGCACTTCCAGGTATTTTTGCCAGGACTTTATAAACTGTTCTTACTACTGTCACGTATCCTATTTGGCTGGGAATTTGTGCAGTAAGAATAGCACTACACATACATATTCCCACTGCACAAACATCTTGGCAAGTGAAATAATTTATCAGTATATAGCAAACATACTACCTAATGACACACAAGCCCATTTCCTGGACTCGGACTTGTGTGCCAGTATTCATGGCTGTCCAAAACCCTTGTTCAAAGTTGATATCATAATCACTTGGCTAGATCTATTGTAATGTAAACACAGGAAAAAAAAACAACGGTGTAACTGACCACCTTTATTAGTCTACCTTTCCCCCTAGAAAGACGTCTGAGAAAACGTATAATGAACTCCAAACAGTTTTGCTCCATCATGACTAAGAGGCCATTGTCTAAAGCAGTTTCTGTCAGTTCCTTGCATCTCCAAGTCTGTTATTAAGATGTTTGCAGTGTTAATGAAGTTTCTGTAAAATCTTTTTTTCACATCATATGTAATATCTACAGTTAATAAAACATGATAGGTTTTTACCACTCATGTGCCAGAGCCTGGCCCCAGATCCTTTTTGTGATTGTTGCTCTCAGCAAATTGCACGGAAATGTCATTTTATTTTATTAGAAGTGGTGATGATGATAACTTGCATTGATGCTGAAAAGTACTCCGTCACAGCTCAAATCATCATTAAAAAAAATAAAATAAAATAAATAAATGTAGGTGACCAGCCACAGAAAGGGAGGTTCAGAGTGAAAACTGGGTAAGTGTTGAAAGACTCCCAGCTCTGGAGGTGCTACCTGGTGATAACGTAATTGCAAACAGGCTTTTGGCCAAATGAATTACACCACATGTAGTTCCCTCACAGTTGTTGGAAGTACTTTTTTATTAACCCTATTAAATGTCAATGTGTTGGTCCGTATGTTACTCCAGAGGGACATAGAGCTCTCTGGGGTTAATAGTAATCCAGGGCTTCCTTTTTTTTTTTTTTTTTTTTTCTGATTTGATACTAAGGTCTTGTAGTACATGTTGTATGTAAAATGACAAGGGCATTTCTCTTCTTTTTTAATTGTTCGAATACACTGAGTAATGATTACATTTTCTCAGAAATTTAGAAGTAAGTGTCTTCATATTACATTTCTCCTGAGAGGCAATAGTTACAATCCATGTGTGTAAGCTCTTCCAGCACAGACTGCTTTTTGTGCCAAAGTCTGGCAGAATGAAATTTCCCAAAATTCTGCTGAAGTATATAAAAATATGATTATTTACCATAATGCCCCTTCAATCAGGACCCCAGGGAAAAAGCATCAAGATTAAGTCTAAGAAATTATTTTGATCACATGGTATTTTGGGGATAGGGCTCTAGAAATTGTTTTACTGCTCTGAAACATTCATTGATAATACATAATGCCACAACTGCAAAAGAGGTAAATGTCCATTCTGTGACAAATTCTGATAATTATTTTTTTCTCCACTTTTAACAGAAGTTTAGCATCAGATAGTATTTTATTATTATTATTATTTTATGACTGACATTTCTAAAACCCACTTCTGATCCACAGAATAATTTGTTTCCATTATGACGAATTATGCTGTTTCAAAAAGTTCTAACATTTTGTTTTGATAAGGTCAAACCATTGTAGTATAATTTTAAAATATCAGCTATGAAATACTGTCAAACACATGTGTTGTAATACTATTAAAATGTGTATTTCTAGGCACTACAAAAAACAAACAAACAAAGCAAACAAAAAGTTAAGACAAAATACTACCTGGTCATAAGGAAACATTCACGCATTATGGAGATAAGAAACTTAACAGGAAATCACCGTGTCTTGCCATGAAGTTCTCTATTTTAGGCAAAAATGCATCTTCTGTTGGGACACAGGTCAAATAACAAGTCGTGGCCAGTTCCACTTTGTGCTTGTCGCAGGGCAGACACTACAAACCAAAACAGTTACTTTCAGTAAAACTTCCCTTGGACTGCCTGTATGCAAATACCCTAATTTAAAGTAGGCAGGTATGTGCAGTCCCCGGAATATCCCAGTTTCCTTTGTATTTATTCTCCTTGTACTGAAGGGAGCAGTTTTGTGTTCACATTCTTTCTTTCTATGGAAAGAAAGGGAAGGAAGAAATGAACAATGGTAAACTTTGTATCGTAACCCTTATAAATTAAAAATCATCCTAGCTTTGTTTTATGCCATGCACAGAAATTATAAAGCAGCTGTGTCCCGCAGGCAAATCTTAGGGAACTCACACATAGTCATTTAATCTGTAGCCGCTATGGGAAGCAGATGTCAGGGAAGAAGCATGGTTTCCCTTGTAGACAGTTGGTGGTCTACAGGAGGGAGCAGTCCTCCTCGTGCCTCTGGGCTGTGGCTCGTAGGGTGCCTCGTTCCCGCTGCACTGGCCCGATGTGCACAGCAGAGCGCCTCCGAGGATCGTCAAAGATGCAGAGACAAAGCCAAGGTACAGGGCTTGACCTATCTCATACTTCATTCCGTGGGGAAGCAGGGGGTTGTAGAAATCTGTAACTACGTCGTTAGTGGTCCAGGAAACGGGTACCAGGCAAATGAGACCGGCCAGGATGAAAACGATCCCCCCGGAGACGGCGATGGAGGCTTTGGCAGAAGTCCCCTTGGCGCAGTGGGTGCACTTCATACCGACGACGGCAATCACACATGCCAGCGCGGACAGGACGCAGGAAATCACCATCATGGCACGGGCTGCTTGGAGGTCACGAGGCAGCGCGAGCTGGGAGCGGTGGACTTGGCACTGGTAGATGCCGGTGCTGTGCCAGACGCACTCCATCCACAGCCCTTTCATATACGCCACAGCTGTTATAATATTGGTGCCTACATGCGCCGTTCGCCACCAGTGTGGCAGAATAGTAGCAATTAGTGTCCCAATTAGACCGAGCAGGCTTAGAGAGAAGCCAAGTAACTGAACAGCCGTGCTTGCCATGCTAATGTTTGTCCTGACTGGTTCCCTTAATAAAGCACCTCCGCTTGAATTCCTTCAGAAAACATGGGCTTTTCTTGGAAGATATGCAGCTGTTTTACTTTGACACCTTCTGCTCTCCTAATAAAAGGTAATTGAGGAAAAAAGGAGTTAATTATTACCCAAATGCATTACCTCTCCAGCCAGTAAGGTGCATTCCAAGTGCAGTTAGTGCAATAATTAGCATAGTTATCGCTGTTAATCGTATTTTTGTGGAAGTAATGGGAAAGTAAGCTTCCCTCTTCACTTATATAAACAGTCTTCTGTTGCCCACTGGGAAGAAAACTCAAGACAATTTATGAAATGGAAAAAAATATTTGAAATTCAAATATTCTTCTTCCCAGCAGACTCTTCAAAAAAACAAACATGATTTCCTTCTAAAGCAGAGAATTAGCTAGTGTTAACACTTGGAATGAATGAGATTTATAAAGTAGGGAACTGCAGTTTGCTTTACACGATGAAAACATTCCCAGAAGGTCATAGCAGGACTACAAAAACAATAAGGGCGTATTTGCTCAAACTAGGGAGCAACGAGAGTGATTTAAAACCTGTGGAAGAGGATAACAAGTATTGGATTAAAGTCACTTTCCTGACTTGCCAGTATTTCTTGAGGTTGCATTTTAATAAAGCAACTCAAAGGGGAATAATTTTCATTAGCCTCTGTGGAGTCTCAGCTTATGATTTTAGGTTGTGGGCTAAATGACAGCATGTGAAGCCAGATGTACATCATGGAGCTTCTGAGGAGCAACACCTCCACAGTTTTGTCGTGTATAAATTCTCGCTGGAAAACAAGGAACAGGAACTCTTCCTTCTGTATAAATCGCAGATTAAGTGGTCTTTTCCAATGGCTGCCTTGCAAGGTCTGTTATACATCATGCATTATGTGTGTGGGCAGAAACCTGATATTTTAATATATAAAATAACTGTTGCATCAAGATCCAACTTGGAATTCTGAAACAGAAACAAATTTAGGCTCCAATCCTGCAAAGACCTATGCATGTGCTGAACGCATGTTTATGGGAGAAAGCCTAAGTGTTTGCAGGACTGGGCCTTTGCAGGCAAAGGGAGGAAAACCATCTGGTGAAACTAATGAAGACCATTAGAACAACAAAATAACGCAGATCGAGGAAAGCGAAAGCTGGTTTGCATTCACCTTATCTCACTAATGAGGCAGGACTGCTTGAGGTGTGCACCAGTACTGATTTTTGTCTCCAGACAACGCCATGGCATGCACTGATCTCTGCATAACAGAAATATGGAGTGTCTCTTCCCAGTACAACCCAGAATCCGCCATAGACCTTGTGCCAAAGGAAAGTAAAAAATAAAAAAAAATTGAAAAGCATGGGGATTGCATGGGTTAGGCAGGGCAACCACACAGGCTGAGAGCCTTGTACTTAGACACGCTCCTTTTCTTTTGTTTGGAGCGTGTCTGCTAGGCACAGACATAGGGTGGGGAAAATTGTGGTGTCGGATGGGGAGGTCTGCCAAGAAGTACCAGGCCCTCACGCTAAACTGGGAAGAGCAAAACCAAAGGCCAGCTTTGCTTGAGCAGGGCTCATTTTAGGACTTCTTGGCCCTTCAGATGCTACTGTAACTAATGCTTAAACAAAAATAAGCTGCTTTCTGTGGTTGTGGAAGTAATTTGCCCAAATGGCAAATGGTGAGAAAAAATCAGAGGGTTTATCTCATGAAATCCTTGTTCTAGGTAGGTGCTGGCTGCAGGATCTGTCTGCACTCTGCCAGGGAAGATTGTGTTTCATATTGCTCTCTTTGTAACAGCTATCACAGAGTACTGCAATATCACCGGACAAACATCAGGGCCAAGTGCACAGCACAGAGGAGCACAGCAAAAGTAAGCAAGTGGTTGTCTCCATCAGTACTGAACATTTGGTTTCTGTTCCTGCCACTTGCTTGGCTAAGAGCTCTAGAAATCCTCAAACTATGATTGTTTTCCAGATTATGTGGTTTCATATATTATGCAAAAGGAAAACTAAACTGTGTTTTTTTGTTGTTGTTGTTTGTTTGTTTGTTTTGTTTTGTCTTGTTTTTACATTACGCTTTGTTTCTTCTGAGGCATATCATTATATCTAAGCATGCCACATGTTAGAGAAATCATCCTGGCAACATTCCTTCTAGATCAGGGAGAGCTAGGTCTGGCCTTGGGACATGGCACGAGGATGGGGAACATGCCCAGGTCGCACAGGAAATCTGTGACTGAACTGGAGAAGAAGCTGGGGTGTCTCCCACCCCAGTTCCAGACCCTAACCCCAGCACCAACTTTCATATCTCTGCCTGGTCTGACAGACTCCCACTCCCTTGGTTTTCTTCCCTGAACACATCTGCAGGTAAGTGGAAGCCCAGGTTGCTCTCTGTCCAATTGCTTGGTCCACACATTATATCCATATATTGCACACCACTCTGAGAAGTGCTAAAGGCTACTCCTGCATGTTTGCAAATAGGCTTTCAAGGTCAGGCATTAGGCTTTGCAGCTAATCCCAGAGAGAACAGGATATAAAAGGTAAATGTGATTTACACCACCAGTCACGTGAAGTGGACTTCCAATTTAATGGAGGTCAGAATACCCTGGGGCTTGGCAGTAACTATTTTTAGATAGTATTAGGTTGTTGTTTTTAAACATTAGCCATTAAGAGCCTTCTAATTTAAGAAACTGGTGTTAATTAGCCCACTTGCTTGGTTCAGGTTTTCCATGTGCCTTCCTCAGTGTATGCCAGCTGCCCCTGGTGTTGAATAATGCCACTGAATGAATAATGCCACTGTTGAATAATGATGAATAAAACCACTGCGGAGCTGCTACTGCTCCCTACCTGAAAGTGGCAAAGCCAGCAGAAACTGAATGCCTTTATCTCTAAGAACATCAATGGCCCTGTTAAAATGTCTCACCTTACAGCCTTGTTCCTAACCGGTTAGGTGAGGAACATGACCACCACAGTGGGATCAGGTGAATGGCTGGTTGAATATTTCTCCTGGGCTGGCCTAGTTAAATGCAAGAACAGAAGCAAGTCATTTTTCTGCATGGACTGGGTTTGTTAATGTGCTTGGAAGATGAGCGAACCTGAGCCAGGTTTTATGAGGAAGCAAAGACAACATTTGTACAGGGTAAAAACCTTTGCATTTTGGTAAAATGGCTGCTTATCTAAGGGGAGCCATTAGTCACTGTCCTAGGCATGGCTGCTAGAAAAGGCAGGAATGGTTTTCTCAAACCAAGTATGCTACTGAAGTGGCTTGTTTCTACTTTTGCCTTGCCCACTCAGATGCCCAGGATGTGAGGTGCAAGCTTTTTCTTTTGGAGGAAGCCCCTTTTAGTCACGGTGGTGTCTGTTTGCATCCCCTCCAGCAATAACACTGGCAACATCCTGGTCTCTTGTCCCATCCCATCATCTCAGATAAGTCATTTTTTCTTCATCCTCTTGGTGCAGTTTGGCGTATGCCTGAAGATTTGATACAGCTGAACTGAACCGTTTCAGCAGACCTGGTTTGAAGAGTGCTGCTGTTTTGCTGTGTGATGGATCCTAATGCCAAGGCCCAGTACTGGACCAAGAGCAGGGTAGCATGCATGTTTAGCATAGCCCATCTAAACACTGAGTGTTTGTAAAATAATGTGAAAAATGGTGAACTGTGAAACTTTTAATTTCGTTGTTCTGCCAGTTTATGCCAACTTCTTTAACAGCACAAGGGTTGGAAAGACAAATGTCTTTCCATAAAAACTTTTGTTTTGTCTGTCGCCTGTGCTGTACAGGAACAGCTATAGCTGGGATAAATCCCGGGCTGTACTTTCCACTGGGCTATATCACAGCTGCATTAGCTTTGGGAGACATGTCTCCAAAGTAAGCTCCAAATAAACAGCAGAAACCAATGTCACTAATCTGGGTATTTACCCTGGATTACATGACAGATGCATGTTTTACTGCTGCCTCTTTCATTGTTTCTCATTTTACTATTTCCCTACCCATATCAGTCTTATCCTTTATGTTTCTGTTCTTTCCAAGCCAGACCCTTGAACTGCTTCTTCTCTTGCAGATTTTGGCTGTGTTGACTTACCCCCGGGGCTGCAGAATGTTCTGCTGATGGATTTTTATTCAGTCATTTTGGTATTTATCAGTGTACCCTTACCTACCTGTGCTTTCACTTCAGCCCCTCAAATTCTGCACCAATTATGTCAAAAACTCTGAAAATCTGGCAATCTCAGCCTGTGCAGGGGAAGTGCAAGGTGCTGAGATGCAGTGGAGTCCTTTGTAGACAACCAGCAGTCAGGCCTGACGTGCTCCCTGTTGGGGACCTCACTTCAGCCAGGCCCTGAAGTATGCGCTCATTTTACTTGCTTGTTTAATCTCACACAGCCTGAATTATTAAGGTTGGGCACATGTTTAACTGCCAGCTGAATCAGAGTTTAAGGCATGAACAAGCAGTGTTTTCGCTGGGAGGGTGGGCAAGATTACCTGCTCCAATGCTCCAAGTTTGGCCGTCTCCCCATCCCCAGGCCCTTTAATTGCTAACTCCTTCTGAAATGTTTTTAGGGGAAAAAATTGGCTGGCACTTTTCACTCTCTAAGAAAAAATCCCTCCCTGTATGTGGGTGTGGGTGAGTAGATCTCCGGGAAATAAGGCCTGTAGGGCTTGCAGCAAAATTCTTCAATTTTTCCTCTTTTTTTTTCCTTAAGAAGAGATTAGGAAATCAATAAAAGTTTGAAAGGCACATTGTAACCAGCCCTGACCCAACACCCACTCTAACCCCTCTCTGAGAAGCAAGGCCTAGCGGCAAAGTCTGACGTTGATCACTGCAGCACAGCTGCGGCGCTGCCAGATGTGCGTGAGGAGCGTGAACCCCTCTTCAGACCCCAAAGCCCCCAGGACTTCCCCCGTGCCGAGCTGCTGGGTTTTAACCAGCCTGGTGCTGCCTCGCTGTTTCCTCCTGCACAGGCGGTCTCCTTCGCACCAACACCATCTGCCCCTGCTGCTTTTTCAGGTCTCTGTGATGGCCATGGGTGCTGCCAAGGGTGCCTCCATTCATTTTGTGGTTTGTTTTTGCCTGAGACCAGCCATACACTATCTCTGCACCAAATG